CGTTAGGCAGCGGCAGCCGGTGCCACCGCTCACGTTTACGGCTGGAGGATTTCTCCTGGGAATAAACCCTCCGAGAGACGGAGCAAGGCCCCAGAGGAAACCGGGGTGGGACTTTGCATCTCTTCTGCTGGTGTCTGCATTGCTCTGGCCATGCCAGCATCGAGGCCCGAGTCGGCTGTGGCTCTGCTGGTTTCCTGGGTCCCCTGGGTCCCCGCTCTGCAGGCGGTGGGGTGTCTCCACCCCCACCGCTCGCCCTGGGCTAACTCCATCCCGCCAGTCCATGTGGGCATCCGAGCTCACCGAACATGCTGCGGATGGGTGCACGTGTCCTCGCGTGGGATGGAGGATGCATGCGCCGGGGGACCAAGGACATGTGCACCCCGGGGACCGAGGAGACATGCACCCTGGAGACTGGGGATGCATGTACTGGGGGACCGAGGACGTGTGCACCCCGGGGGGACCGAGGATGCATGCACTGGGGGGACCGAGGACACGTGCACCCCGGGGATGGAGGATGCATGCACCGGGGGGACCGAGGACACGTGCACCCCGGGGATGGAGGATGCATGCACCGGGGGGACCGAGGACACGTGCACCCCGGGGATGGAGGATGCATATGCACGGGGCACCAAAGATGCGTGCACCCATGGGGCCAAGGACATACACAGCCAGGGTTGGGCAGTGTAGGGGGTGGGGGGGGAATTACATGGTGTGCAAGGAGGGAAGGGGGCTTGGGAGCTCTCTGCAGGTCCTCCTCTCTCCCAAAATCATCCCCAGCAGCTCGGGAGGGCCGATGAACTGCTGGGCACCGCTCAGCCTTGCAGCCCCCCCAGGAACGTGGTGGAAACACCCAGGTCAGGCCCCTGCCAGGGCTGGGGTGCAGGGAGGGCTGGCAGGAGGCTGCAAACACCTATTAAAACCATAAATCCAGATGCCAGTGCCATGGGAGAGGCTGTTTTGGCAGCGGCTGCCTGGCTTTCCGGGCAGGGCTCCGGGGCGGGTGCCTGGCTGCCCAGGGATGATGCTCTTGGATTTTACATTTCATCGGCAGACTCCAAAGCAGCTCCGAAACCTGCTCCCGAGGCTGCCTCCCCTGCCAGCAAACGCGGGGAGGATGACAGCCAGGGTTATGGATAACTCCGGGCTGGAGGGAGCAGGTTAAAACCTCTCACTGCCCACCCAGGGGCTGGGTTTTTCTCCGCCACCCCCTTCCACCCCCCAAAACCAAATAAACACAGCTCCTTTTTCAGGGATGAATCCGGATGCAAAACATTCCCGTGGGCTTGCTGGCAGAGCGGGGAAGGGCTGGGAGGAGGGATGCAGACAGACAAACCGCAAAGCCCCAGACGAAAATAGTTGAGGGCTGGGGAGGATTTGATGGGGGGAAATACCAAGCGTGTTTGCCCGAATCCTTACGCGGTCCTGGATGTCTGTTTGTAACTCTGTGGGGCCCAGGGGAAGGGCCGGGAGCTCGGGGGAAGGCGGCCGCAGGCAGGGATGGAGCCCGGGCACCACGGGGATGGGCCACGGGGAGGAGGGGAAGAGGCAGGGAGATGCTGCATGAACCTGCGCCCTAAGGACCGCGGGGAGAGCTGAGGTGCTCAGGTCACTTTGTGCTTTATTTCTCAACGTTACAAGGCAGAAGGCGATTTCTCAGGCAGCATTAATTATTGTTAGTGCATTAAAACCTCCACACCAAAACCAACCACGCGGCACGAGCAGCCACAACCCGGGACCCTCTGGCCAAACCCCTGAGCGAGGGAAGCCCCTGGGACGGGGTCGGGGTGACGTGGCAGCCCCGATGCAGCCCCTGCCGTGGCATGAGGATGGGTCCAGACCCAAACCATCTCCCAGCACCCCGGGACCTCCACGAGAGCTCACCAGGACCCTTTTAGCTGCCCAAAGCGATGCTCTGTGCCACCCTCCTCCCGGCCCCAGCTCACCCATCACTTCCACCCATCAACCCCCCAAAAAAGACAAATCAACCCGTAAAGGCAAAAAATCAACCCCG